AGAGAGAGAGAGAGAGAGAGAGAGAGAGAGAGAGAGAGAGAGAGAGAGAGAGAGAGAGAGAGAGAGAGAGAGAGAGAGAGAGAGAGAGACGGAACCATACCTGGTTCGAATCTGAAACTGTGTGAGCGGCAGCAGAGACCACAGGAGATGTGAACTCTTTCTTTGTACAATAAAGATATTTTGCGTGTCAATCTCTCGTGTGATTCTTGTGTCTTGGCTAGCGGTTCCTAGTGTGAACACTCATCTGGATGCTCGTTGCATGTGCGTGCGAGGTTGAGGGTGATTGACTTGCGGATTGTTGCAGTAACTTAAGAAAAAGTGAAACCATTCAGCACACCTATTCTTTCCAAGGCCCCACACTGTCACAGGGCTAAAAATGTGCACAGAACTGGTTTCGATAGGAAACAGTTTCACTGTGCCACCACATCCTGCCTTTCAACCAGCCTTGAGGATAATTCCACCAGTTTGTTGCTTCTGTGAATTAAGGTGTCTCGAAGTTGTGACTGTTCTAAACCATGAGATATCATCATTGAATTGACCAGCCCCTAGGTAATTCAGAATTACTGTAGTAAGTATTTCACTAATCTGCTCCCAGTGAAGTTTGAACTCAGGTCTGTATTTCAACAGTTCAGTGGGGTAGCAGCTGAGATAGACCAGTACGTAGATGTGAGCTCTTCCAAACCTTGAGACCTTGTTCTTTTTTTTTTTTTTTTTTTAATTTATTTTAAGAACAGAACCTTGAGACCTTGTATTCATCCCTCAGATCCCTAAAAATCATACACCTGAAGAAAGAGCAACTACAGGCTTGAGAGAGAGTTTCACCGAGGACAGACAGGCTGCAATCTTAATTTGCTTGATGTAGCCACTGTGACTTTACAAACAGGACATGGTAAAGAGAATCCCTTCACCAAGATTATGCATAAGTACCATCCCTTGACACTTCGCAGACAGCGGGCCACAACTGCACGTGTAGACAAGAAGAAGCTAAGCCTGTGATACTCTTACTATGAGACTCCTTTGCGTGCCTATCATCAGATATGCAGTGCGCAAACTCCAAAGAACACCAATTCGAAGGGAAATACGCAGAAGTTGCAATGCGAATCAAAATCCTGAGAGTATCAGACAATGTTAGCACAAGGGAAGACTCAAATCATGATCTGACTCGGGATACTCGGAACTCGACACACAAACATCATCACACATGTAGAAGCAAGGTCGGCGTACATACATGGACTACAGGCCCCTCCGTTGCTCACGGCACACACGGGTGAAGAACCACGGATACGGAGGTGAGAAGCGATGAAGGAGAAAGGAGGGAGAAGACAAGAAGAATAGCTCGAGATAGCTGACAATAGTCTCTCCCAGCGATGTCCAAGAACCGTCTCCCCAAAATGCTGAATCCGAATCCTGCCAGGGCACTAACTGGCCCGAAACTCTCTCTCTCTCTCTCTCTCTCTCTCTCTCTCTCTCTCTCTCTCTCTCTCTCTCTCTCTCTCTCTCTCTCTCTCTCTCTNTCTCTCTCTCTCTCTCTCTCTCTCTCTCTCTCTCTCTCTCTCTCTCTCTCTCTCTCTATCTCTATCTATCTATCTATCTATCTATCTATCTCTTTCTTCCTCCTTCAGACAGCCCTTCTCTCCAGCAAGGAGCACCCATAATGAGGCACGGTGCACATGAAGGGAGAAATGAGGGTAGGGGCTTTGGCTCTCTGTCCGGGTCTCTTCGTTCACCTCCCCATCCTTCAGACAGCCCTTCTCTGCAGCAAGCAGCACCCAGAATGAGCCAACCAGGCTCCCCATGAAATGATGAAAGAGTGGGGATTAAGGCCCTGGCTACATACCCACATACATAATGCCATGCACCAGTGATGCTGCGCAGTTGTCCTCCCAATGAATGTCTAAAATCCTGAATGAACGTCTGAACCGGGCGCAATGTTGCAAGTTCCCCTAGCGCAGGGTCTCTCAACGCTATGGTCCCTCTTCGTCTGACTTCGTCATCAGTAGTCTTTCCATGTCACTCATTCCAATGGTGCACTTGTGTTTCAGCTTCGCATCCAACCTAGACCTGCCTAAACCTTATTTCCACTGGCGCAGTGTACTTGCACCCGGATTTTTTTTTATTTATTTATTTTTTTATTTTTATTTTTTTAATCATCCTTGCGCAGGGGCCATGCTAATCTTCTCTGTATCGTTCCAATTTTAACAGATGTCCCAAAAAGGAGCTTTGCACCCAAGGAGTTTCAAAACAAGCTTTGGCCAGCAAACTTATCGCTGATCCTGGTTTGCAAACAACCATCCTTTTTTAGTGGATAGTTATCACGGTCCGGGAGTACGGTCTAGACTTTGCATGCCTGCAGCGGCACCAAGTACATTGTTGCACCATTGGACCCGGTGACAGACAGTGCACATAACCTGACATGTCCATTGTCGCCAGCTATCATAAGCGCAAGGTATGATCTGGAGGTCAGCCAAAGGACTCGATGGGTCCCACGACCACCAAATATAAATCCCGATCCATACCACACATCATTTTGTGATCGCCTGTGTGGTCGAGTGCGACATGCTCGGACGCTGATCCGTCCGAACCACACTTGCGCCATAAAAAACAAATTTTAGCAGCCATCCCCTAGGGCTCATGTGCAACTACCACCAAAAGAACTGTAAGGAATCTACAAAAGACGAACATAGCAGCACCAAGCAACAATGCCTTCCGCAATGACCCCAGGGTACCATGGCTGCATTGCACACAACCAAAGAAATACACCACGTGCAATCACAGAAATAGCCAGGCAGCCAAACGAAGCCCTGTGGAACACCTGGAGCAACACTGCCTGCCTGATATTCAAGCACCTTGGACAGACTTGTAAACCATGTGCTCAGAGAAAAGGTATAGGCTGTTGGAATTACACCCACATAGCACTCTGGCCACAGTCCACGCAAACCGTGCACGCTGAAAATCACAAGCCTACGGCAGTCACACCCACGACACATACTAGGACACAGTGCATGTGTTTGTGTTGTGCATTCGCTAGACACACAAAAGAATGGTGACTGAGACAGACTGTTTCATCAGACTTTCACCGACTCATCAAGAGGTTCAACCTCAACAGTCTGCCAGGTGAATTTGACTGATGGATAGAACTCACCGTCTTACCAAAGCATGTGATACCATTGACAAAAGTGTTTGACTTTACTCACACCGACCCTGCCTGTGCGTCTGTATGTGTTATCATGTTGGCTGTACCCAACTCCACAAAAGAAGTATATGACTGTGCCATACTGTTTCGCCGGGCTCGTAAGGGTCTGTGTGGGTCGTAAACTGTCACCGCAACAACACCTTTTCCACCCAAATGAATGAACGGATCGAAAAGTGAAACAGCTTCACCTCCATCGCAATCAACATGAAGGACAGTAAGATAAGCGGATCCAAAATTGAAACAACTTTTTTTCTATTGCAAATAACATGGAGCACACAAAAACGGTAGTAAAACAGATATTTTGCCTTTTTCCTTGCACCCTCCTTTCTTCAGTTTTCTTACTTTGTTCCGCATTCTTTGGGGTACCCCTTTTTCCCTTCTTTGGGGTACCCTTTTTTCCGTTCCTCGGGGTACCCCTTTTACTCTGCCCCTCACATACAAGGTTAGCCACATTGATCGTGGTTGACCGCAAGCTGCCCACATCCCCGTGTGGCATAATGAACCACTTGCATGCTAGCAAAGGAGGCAGAGTAAAGGGGAAGGTATACTCCTGTTCATTTGTGTGTGTGTGCACTTTGTAATGTTCACAATACACAACTCCACATGTAGGGCCCAAAGAATTGCAGGGCTGGCATCTCAGTTTATGCCGAGGGAGCGCACTCCCACAATCATTTCAGAATGCAGCCCCTTTGCATGTTCACCAATTGCACAGAGAGGTCCCTCTGCAGGGCCCGGAGTTCCAAACATCTTCTTTCGGCACAAGTGCACAACTACATGAAAGGTCTGACGACTCTGACCGGTACTTCACTGCCATTGGAGCGAACAACCAAGCACCATTGTCAACTAGAGGAGCAGAACAACTAGCCCATAACTTATCAACATGGGTGAACAAATGTGCTGGAACAAGAACAAAAGAGGCTTTTGAAGTAATAAAGGGCAGATACCACATACGCAAGGGCTTGGAAAATACTGAAATATAATTGTGAAAAAGACAAGTTAAAACAACTGCAAGGATAGAGAAACACTTACATTCAGGACATCCATGTCATTTTCTTCCTTCATCACCGGAAAGGTGACATCCTTAAGCCATTTTGGTGATAGTGAGCCCTTCTCCGTCCTTGTCCGTGCCTGTCTCAGCCATCAACCAAGCACCAAACAAAATGTCAAACAGTCATCAGCATGCCTCACTCGCTGCACTGAAAACTTTACCTGTCAGAGGTAAATACATCATAGCTGTCGCAGGAGCAATACCAACGGCGAAAAGCATTAATCCGTGCCCTCCCAACTACAGGGGAGAAAAAGGAAAACAGCAAAAAAAACAAAAACGAACAAAGGATAATGTAATGATCTTCAAAATCACGGACTGAGAACTCTGCTGTTTTCTGAGCTTTGCCGCTGGATTGTGTGACTCGCTGAGAATCCTGCATTCTGCTGAGGTTTCTAAGTCCGTGGGTGTGCATGTTTGCTGAGTTTCCGTGTGTTTGTCTGAAACCACGATTGATTGGGGGTGTGCGTGACCCGCTAGGGTACTTGTACACTGGAAAGGCCCTCAGGCCGGGTACTCACCTGTGGCCGTTCTTTTGTGGGGTTGCGGCGGGGACGTAGTGGTAGGCTAGACCCGCGTAGGATGGAAAACACTCGAGTAGCGGGTAGGGTAGGCCCGCATAGGTTAGAAAACACTCGAGTAGCGGGGAGGTAGGCAGAAGAAGACAAAAAGTAAGTGGCTTCAGAGGCCGACGGAAACTTAAGAGTCCAGTAGTCTGAGTCAAGGGCCTGCAGCAAAGGATATCCGGCTGCAATGATGTTTCCCTCAGAAAGGAGGAAGGTACCTGTAGCTTGGCAGGCCGAGCGGCCTGGTAAGTCACCGCCCAAGGAGGCAGCAGTCCGGTATATCTTCAGGAAGAGAGGTGAGCTCTTCCTCATTCTGCGGTGTACACGTTTGGCGTCACGCTGATGGAGCGAGTGCTTGGTGTACCAGTGCTGGCCCTCCACCTTGCTATGGTGGAGAGGACCAAGGAGGTAAGTATCGGGGGAGTAAGAAGAGGAGGAGGAAGACACTGGGTAAGGAGGATAGTGGCAGAGGTGCTTACCTGGCCATGGTGGTCTGCATCTTTATCTTCTTGGATGACTCTGCGCCTGGAAGGCCCCAAAGGGGGTTGGCTTCATCAAGGAAGACCTCGGGTTAGTGTTAGGCATGGCGGCCTTAGTCGGAGGGACAACACATTGTCTTTGCGTTGTCCTTTGAACATCAGAGCAGGGCTCCGCTAGTCCGCCATAGCCATCCACTCAGCCAAGTAGGCTATGGTGGACCTCGTGAGTTGCTGGCAGTAAGGAGGAGATTCACACATTGGTTCTGGTTCATTCATTCATTGTTGCTATTATTACTATTATTGAAAAAAGAAGAAGTTGGAGGAAGTCAAGGAGGTTGGAGATGGAGGGATTTGACATTGGTCTTTGCTGGTTTACATCTTCTTCTTCTTCTTCTTCTTCTTCTTCTTCTTCTTCTTCTTCTTCAACTCTTATTTCTTCTTCTTGCTTCCAAGTTCTTTCATTTCGGTTGCAATTGAACGGCATTGTCTTTCTTTGAGTTACTCCCAACAAGATAGCCAGGATATAACAACCTGTTGGTGAGCAAGATCGTATATTCTTAAAAGAACAACGCATTGGTGAACAACATAGTAAGCTCTTGAAAGTACACCAATACGTTCTCCTGCAAAAACGAAAAAACCTAACTAAAAAAGATGAGGATATCTGAGCGTCTTCCCAACATTTCATGTCCTGTAACAACAGCAGTCCATGTTTCAGTTCAAGGGCCTTAACTTCAACAATATCTCTAGCACATTATGTTCCAAATGTGGCAGCTGTACCATGTCCTTGAATTGAATAAACGCATACTTGGAAGTGCACGGCGCACTGCTCGGTGTGGTGCGGCACATGTTGCAAAGCACCCCTACCGGTATGCTGTCCCAGCAGAAATGTCATTGTCATCTATTTTTATTGTTTCTTGTACAGGGGGATCAGAAGGGGGTTACAAGTTACAACCTACAGAACAGATACTGTTAAGTACAGTCGTACCGATTTTACTTCTCATGATTTCATCCCATTAGGCGTTCTCATGATTTCATTCCATTGGGCGTGAGAAGGTTCTTGGGACATCGCTCTTGGTCATGATGTCGCGACAGTACTGTCCCTGACTGGGTACTTGAAAAACAAAAGTCCCAAAACAATTTCTCAGAGGGGGCGTGGTTGCCCACCGATCCAGGCCTGCAAACCTTTTTTTCTCTCGGGGTCTATTTTCCCACAAGCTGCGCATGCCACATGCTGCATGGGTCCAGTGTGTGTTCATGTGCTGCTCTTGCACAATTGCCCGCACGACGTGTGCTTGCAAGTATGACAGAAAGTCTGCAATTGGCATTTTCATTGTGCCCTTTAGGGGTAGGAAGTACTAGGAACATAAGACTAAAATTTTTTTATTTCTTTATCCTTATTTTCAATTCAAGCCTACAGACAGTGCACTGCCATTAAAGCAGATCCTAAAGCAATTGTTAGTCTTTCTTCAGGAAACTTGTAATTACCGAGGGCCTAACCGACTCGTAAGCTCAGAAGCGGAATTATTCTCGTGATCACCCACATTATGTTCTTCTTTAAACCGCCACCAGAATTGAAATCGAGCCAATCCGATATACCGAAGGCTCGGGGCTACCGGACCAAAATGGCTGGCGGCACCACCCGAAAGAAAAGAAAGCGTGCCGCTCTGGTGTTTCGGCAAAGCTTGGCCCGCAGAGGGGGATCAGCCTTGGGAAAAAGAGGCTCCGATGTACTGGTGATTTAAAAAACGAAAAACTCTGATACTTGCTACACCTACTTGCTCAGCTAATAAGATGTGCTTTTCTAGTCCGCGGAGCATGAATCAAGTTACATCCTTCCTGAATGAAAAAAAAACAATAACAATAACAGAGGCGTTGGAAATTGACATCACAGTATCGCTAATATGATCTAGAAGGCCACATGCACCAAGACCTTCAGTGAAAAGATTTAAAAGAACACACATTCTTCACACAGATGGACGGAAGAGCTCTAAAGAGTTCAGGCCCTTCAGGGAAATAGGGCTGCACTCTCAGCGGAGCATTACAAAGAGAGGAGAAGGGGAATGCAACGAGAAAAGGCGATAGTTATGAAAGGTGACCATAATACAGTGATATGCTACTAGGATGAGCAACCAACCGTCCTTTCTCGGTGCAGAATCGGCACAGCCAGTACGGAGCAGTGACATCTAATAGAGGAGAGGACGCAAGACGGTGACAAAATATCGTTCCAATTCCCGAAACGACATGCAGAGACATCAGCAAGGAGGGGACTGCTGAGTTGCATTCTGTCAGGGGAGGAATAGCCAGGAATTCTATTTGGGTTTAGTTAACTTGGGTATCATTCAATATGTTGTTGACATTAATAAATACTTGGACCTGCTCTCCTACCTGCTGTGAGGTTGACTGTCGACCCCCGTACGTACCTGTTGCTGATTTGGGCTATATGCCCTTAAACCACCACTACACCCGGGCCTGCAGGCTGCACACTTTTTTTCCCTTTTTTTGGCTGGCACCGCCAGCCATCGTGGTCCGATAGGCCGAGCCTCCGAAATTTTTGTAGGTGACGAGTTTCTTTTTCAGCAAGGCCACTGGTAGGGCCGAGTACTGGCGGTTTAAAACCATCTGTACACCCGAGTCTCCGTCCCAAACCGGCGGGTCATGCTAGAAAAGCAGGGTATGTTGGAGAAGGAGATTGTGCATGGATCTGATAGCCACCCACTGTCAAACGCAGCTCAACCAGCCTACTAAACGGACCTAACCACTGCCTACCTCGTAACTGGGTGGGCAGAAAAAAAAGGGGACCACTCCAGCAATCCTGCCATCTGCCTTGCCTATACTTGGCAGATATATCATATAGTTACACATATCCTTCGTGGCAAGTTCAAAACACTGTTGACTTTTCAAGTCTATTCTCCCATTCATTTACAGGCCTCGCTAGAGGCTTGTTTTCGCGAAACTGTTTGTGACAAATTTCGATTTTCAAAACTGCGAACACATCAGTCAAAACTAGTTCAACAAAGCATTTTATTACTCCAAAGGAAAATGATCACTCAAGGAATGAGAAACCCAGAGTGATTTGGATCCGTATGCACGTACTTGGCTGAGGAGTTACAGTTAACAGCCCCTGCGTGCTGTAAAGTTGCAAGATCCACCGAGGACGAACATGCAAGCTTCTGCAGCCATGGATGGCTTCAACTGCCGTAAGGGTGCAGATCTGTGAGCACGACCGGGGCCTCACCCTCAAAGTAGCCCGACTCCAGGAAGACTTAGTTTTACATCCGTAAAACATCGCCTCGCCTCACAGTAGAGAATAACTTGCAATTGGACAGCAAGACAAGTAGGAGAGGAGCCCGATAGCAGGGACAGTCACCACGTCATCTCATCATCAACGACAAGACTTGCATGCGAATGCACAACTCATCAGCGAGGACGAGACAGTCAACCTCTCTCTCTCTCTCTCTCTCTCTCTCTCTCTCTCTCTCTCTCTCTCTCTCTCTCTCTCTCTCTCTCTCTCTCTCTCTCTCTCTCTCTCTCTCTCCCCGTTATGTCCCCAGAAAAATAACTAACCAGTGAAAGATGATGTCTTGAACTCCAGCAGATCGCAGAGTGAAGGCCAGCCTATGGCCAGTACCAGTCCCAAGCAAATGGTATCCGGGTCAGTGCTCCGCTGCGCTCAATGCTGCTGAAGACATCTCTCTTGCCAGTCTATCTCCTTGCTCCTCTAGTGCTAAGGCACACATCCACAGAGTGCTGCGCTACAGCAGCCCGTCACCAAGGCGTAGCTGCTACCTGTTTGCAACTGTGTGCTGGGCCCAGAGGTCAAACCCCATGAGACCCCCTGCTTGTCCTCCTGGTCCATTGGATCAGGCCTGGTTCAACGATCCATGAGAATGGCCAAAAACCTGGCCCAGAGGTCAAACCCCAAAAAAACAGCCAGCCTGGGTCACAGTTGGACGTCCAGGCCTTCCTGCTGCATCGACAGCTGGTCCAGCGCTACCAGACAAAAGAAAGTCCAGTCCTTATATGGATAAAACGACTCCAGGGC